TCGGGACGTCTGCAATGTTTGATCACCTACCCGATCTCGCCTGACTATAAAGTGAAGGAAATAGCGCGTTTATTTGATTAAGTGGCCGAAATCTTTAGTAAATCAAACGATATTCGTTAGTCAACGAGGAATATTCAGCAGTTATTATGTTGCTAGAGATTTGTCTGATTTGAGATTTGATTTGAATTAAATACCAAATTTGAGAAAGTGGCATAGTGATAGAGGTGCCGCTATGACCGATCGGAAGCAGGAACGATCCTCTGGGCCAACCAAGCCCTTTATCCTCCGGGGCAAGAAAATTGGTACCAGAATAATCTGGGAGGATAAAAGCACTGACTGTGACGGCTGGTCCCGCAAGTCAGTGTAATAGGCCTACACGCATACAGTTTCCTCTTCAACTATGAAGTAGTGTGCATTCGGCTCATGCCCGCAGAGGGTTTTGAAGACGCCGCATAGGGTATTGAAGACTCCTTTATCCTTTATCCTTTCACAATTTTTATATTTAAACTCAGCGACTCTTAGCCTAATATGTGTTATAAGCTTGTGTTTTGTTTCGCTTACTGTGCGCTTTGGCTGCCACGTAAGGGAGCTTCCAAACCGCGCCGCTTGCCGCTTTCGCGCCGATGCCGCCATTGGAGCCGAAGCGCAGTGGGCCAAGACATTGGCCAGTAGTAAAGCCCAGGTGAACTGAACTTAACCCATTAGTTGAGCTTAAGTCAGGTGAACTAATGACCGCCCACCTTCCCATGCTATGAGCATGGCGAGTGAACTGATAGTTGACCATCTGTCCACCTGCTGCAGTTAACTCGTGTACATCATTTCACGTTCACTTGAACTGAACGTGAACTGATGTTAGACGAATGCAAATAGTATGTAAAAGAGGAGGCGCAGACAAGACTCTCGTAAGTTGCTCCTGAGTAAGTTACGATACAGATCACTTAGACTAAAAATGCAGACAATATGGTGCAAAACTGCACACATTTCCTCGGCGGCGTGCTTGTGAAAATTTTGGGGCAGTTGTGTTGTTTTGATTTATTATTCTGTTTTGGTCTTGCGTCTTCCATCCCTGCGTCTATGCAGGAACAGTTAGCAGCTAATCAGATAGAGTGGACTACTTCGACAACCGTTCTTCATCCAGTTCTTCATTTTCTGTGAGTTTCATTTTGAAAGCAGAATCATGCAAGCACTGAGCGGTATTGATCCATCTCCCTTTTCCCATATTCTGCGAAACAAAGATTGTTGGTAACAATGTGGTTACAAGTTTATGAGCGGAATGTTACTCAATCTATAGCTCTTCTGTTGAAACTGCCATTGTGCCCCGAATCATGTGCTTCACGTGAGCAAGAACCTAGTTTTGGTTTGTGATTCATTTGTCGCTTGTTCTACTTCTTTTTTTCAATCCGAACTTGACATAGTTTGAAGTGATACAGTTTTGCATTTTCTCCTCTCCTCGTTGATGTGCGTTCAGCGTTATAGTCACTCACTCTCTTTTCTAATCCGTCGATGTTTGTTTTTGAAACTTCTCTTGCACCCATCCGTTTTGTTATGCACTTATACCCGAGTCTAAAACGCAATAAAACCTTTGATGTTTTTTTCGCAAAATATTCACGTCTTTTTCTACGTCCTCGTAGCCGCTACGTGGCGTCACTGGACCTTGGAAGTGATTTGAACAATTAGCTTATGCACATTTTGTTGCCGATAATGCGTCTACAAATTTTGTATGGCAAATGTGCTAATTATTTTGTTTTCCTTATGTTTTGTTTTGTGTATCATGCTTTGCGTCTTTCATTTTTTTACTATGAAGAACCTTGAATAACTCGCAACTATTAGGTCGTCTCATAAGTCTTTTCATTTTTGAATTTTTGCTGTAATAACTCATACACTTCTTGTTCTAAATAGACATTAGGATATCATTCGACAGAGCAAAGCAGCTCTATAAGACGGCGTTTATGGTTTTGCCCCAGCTTCGATACACCTCAAGTTTGTAACCAAAATCTAAAGTGTCTAGAATGCCAAGAAAATTGGAAATTTTTTATATCTTCGTTCAGAAAAGTCCTACAGATCTCTCACTCGCTCACGCATATACATTCCATATCAAGCACTCACATGTGCTATTGCCGTATTTTTAATTAGCTAGAAATCGAGAAACCAAAAATTTCCATGTTTTCACCAAAGTGATGCTGTGCTGTTCATGCACTAACAGTTGTATACTACGAGCCATTAGAAGTATTGCCGCAACTTTTTAGCTCTCTATAAGCTGTAGTTCCCAAGAAATATCGAATTAGGCATTTTTCATTCAGGTTTTTCGTGCTTAACTCACCATTTCAAAGTAAGACTTGGTTTCAATACTTATTTTAACCTTTATTTTAAATATTTGGATTATTCTATGACCGGAGGAGGGGTACAACACTCTGACGAAACAATAGCACGGCAAATGAGGAGTGTCTATTCGAAACGGCGACTGAAGAGAAGTTATGGAGTTTCTTCGGTAAAACTTAACTTATCACACCTTTCAAGGAAGGGGAGAGCGGGGTGGGTAAGGTTGATGCGTCGATCACAATGTTATTTCCCCCTGCATTCATTACTATTGATTACAGAAATCCCAAAATCATCAGAAAAGGGGCGAACGAGAACGATTGCAGCCTATCATGGTAGTGATCTAAACCCTTAAACACATGATTTAGCAATTTTTTTTTGCATGAATTTGAACTAGCGATATGGGTGACGAAGAAGAAGAGGAAGCAGCCAGTGTTAGTCGAGGAGAAGACGGAGGAAGAAGAGAAGGTGGAAGAGGAGGAGGAGGTGGAGGAAGATCAGCAATATACGAAGATTTTGAAGTGGAAAGCCTACGCGAAGGATGCTTTGGTACTGAGGATACAACGGAGGAGAAGGCAGGTTATGTGGAAAAGAACGCATGGCAGGAGGCAGAGGAGGGAGGCGGAGGACAACTACGCCGAAGAAGAAGAATAAATGAAAGCGATTTCCTGGAAGAACAGTACCGCATGATCCAAGTAAGCAGACCGTTTATCAAAAAAGGATTATTGTTCTTCTATATATCTACAGGATCGATGACATTTTTTTAATGAGCTAATACACACACCTTACAAGTGTTCTGCGACTACATAGCAACACAAAAAATGGCACAGTGAATCGGAAAAGCGGAGGGTTGGGAAGGGGGAATGTAACAGGAGATGAAAACATTGAAGAATCGATCATTTCGAGTCAATAAGTGGAGGAAGGCCCGGTTCGCGTTAGAGATATGGTTAGATTTCCTTCGATATTTTGGTATCGTTTAACATTTTTCTCGTATCTCTTATCATACCTTTTACAGTTTCGTTCTTTCACAAACTCACTAATTTGTTATTAATCGACCCTTCACTTGGTGCGTAATGGATGGAAAATGTTTTAGAGGTAAGTTTATCTCCTTGCTCCTATGCCCTGTTTTTGATTCGGTACTGCAATGGTAGGTCATATGTGATATGGCGAGAAGAGCTATTGTGCTGTAGAACAGTATTGAAACTAATTCCCGAATATCACATTGCGACCTGGAATCGCTGGCTTCAAAGTAATCGGTAATTTTCGTACTGTGTTTTTCGTACCGTGTCACTTGTTTTACGTAATACTTTTTCAATATGTCTTTTTTTCAGCATTGATGCATCTCGCGCACCTATGTTGTTGGGGGCATCGCATCTGCTTATTTGTGACAGTTACGGACGGAAATGTACGGCAATTCCAAACTGCTTCAGTTTATGGTTTCAAGATTTCTCTTCTTCCATTCACATGGCAAAGTCAGATACAGGTTAAGTACGTCGCAGTTGTGCCGTATATCGTTAGAAGCTACCGTACATAGCCAGCTTCCATGCACTGTAGCAGCAAAAATTCTGTTAGTTTGTTGCATTGCATTCTCTTTGTGTTGCTGATGTGACCAAACATAAACTCTAAATCACATAACCTGTTGTGACATCCCAATCTGTTTATGTTTGTTATGTGTCAAGGTGTAAATTGAAATGGACATCTGTGACATCTGCAACATGCAGTAATTGTTGCATATAGCAGCAATATTTGATTGCTGCAGCAACATGCAACATGGTTGCAGCAGCATGTATGTTGCCTATTCCAACAACGCAACTTGGTTGCATCAACATGACTGCTGCATGTTGCAACAATATTTAATTGCTGCAGCAACCTGCAACATGGTTGCAGCAGCATTACGTTGCGTGTTATAGCACTATTTATTTGTTGCAGCAACATGCAGATGCAACATACGATTTGCTGCAACATGCATCATATGCTAGTCAATTTTATCATACAGCAACATGTACAGCTCGTTGCATCATGCAACATGTTGTTGTTGCCTTTTGTAGCATGCTGCGGACATGTTAAGTATACTTGCTTCGGCTTCAGCTGCAGAATGACTGCCGCGCGCAGGCGTCTCTCGATGTGGAGTCCAAATTATTTCCGAGCTTGCTAAGACAGACATCAGGAGCCGCCATCCCGTCCCTCGCAACGACGACCAACCTTTACAAGTTTTCGGTGACGAATTCGCGGACGTGCTCGTTGTTCGGGGGATGGGTCACCCAACCGCGGCGAATGGGCGACAGCGGCTGTCCTCTGTGCGTTCTCGGGTAGATGCCGATGTTGAAGAGAATGACACAGGCCTCTACTACCTTCTGGAGCTGAATGCGGGTGATGCTGTACAATATGCAGAAACGCCGCTTCAGCGCTCAGAACGCCTGCTCGACGATTCGTCGGGCTTCGGCGTGCTCCCTGTTGAATCTCCTCTTCCTGACGTCATTCTCTGTTGCCCGCTCTCGGAGGGGCCATCACACTCCTGGAGTTGGCAAAGCCGATATCCCCCAGGAGACGATATTCTGGGAGAGCAGAACCTTCATCAAACTCGGCAGTTGCTTGCGAATGCTGCCGTATGAATGAGTCGTGGTGCCTGCCCGCGAATCCACAGTTGTCGTGCACAAAGCGGGCCCTGGCATCCACTACCGCAATCATATTGACTGCGCAACATGCCTTTCGGCAGTAGTAGTGGTTGCCAAAGTTGATAGGGCGTCGGATTCGGACGAGGCAGCCGTCGAAGCATCCAATAGCATCTAAACAAAGCATTTTATATAGATGTTGAAGAATTTCGTGAAGTTCTTACTTGTGAATCTCGAAATTTTAGCGAATTCTTGAGACCTTCGCAAGCATCAGCGCTCGTCCGACGGCCAGAAGCGGAGGAAGCGGGCCCTTTATTGTTGGATGATTGAGAACATCCACTACCCGGGTGACGACATCACTCACAACCTTCTGACACACATCAAAACAGTCAGCTATAACAGTTTGATGACAGTTGGTGGCCAGGTAGCGGAGTGTGATGAGGACCTGAAGCGAACAGAAAATAGTTGTAGTGGACCTTCAAAGGTGTCCAAAACCTGGTCCTCTTTTCTGATTATCTCCCAAGCCAGCCCTGCACCCGGCAGCAGCGGTTCGAGCATCCTCACGATCTTCTTCAAGGCAATGGCTCGGCAAATCCCAACCTAGTCAAATTTTCGCTTACCTGGGATTATTCAATACGTTGATCACGAAAATCCACTTTAACTTTAGAAAGCTCGAAAACGGCGAAAACGAGCGTTTTTCAGCCCCTTCCCTTCAAGATTGGACGAGTGTAGCAAGACTGATGACGCTGGATCGTTGCGAGACCCAATGATTATAGCATTGCGGCGGGCAGCCTCCAAAGGTGAGAAGGAAGTTGCCAACTCGTCCAGGTGCGTGTAAGATTGGCCTGTACGCGTAAGTTCGAGAGCGATTTTCTCGACAGGGAAGGCATGCTGTGCAACCGGGATTGCACTGTTTTCATACTTGGACGATAATGAACTAATGCATTAAGATCCTGGGTTGTCAAGTTTTGCCGATCCACTGCCTTTAACATCTTCTCTGCGAAATCTATACTTCGAGTAGAAGATGCGATCGTTCTGCTGGAACACAGAGGAAGGATGGAGACGTTCATAATTGACGTTCCTCTGGCGCTGCTGACGGACGTTGAAAAAGAGCGAAGCCATCTAAACCAATTATTCAGATATTGATTCAATTCAAATTTAGAAATTGACGACCACCAATAAACTTGTTCAACTTTCCTATAGTGTGTGCTTACAATAAAGTCGTGTTGAAACCCTTGCACCCATGGCAAAACGCTTTGCGCCACGCAGAACTCGAACCCGACACGCATGGCACAACACGCGGCCCTCTTCATCACTCTACCATTTGGGTTAGTATCCAATTCTTCGGCGACTGCTTCAGCGTTACATAACGGCATAAGGTGCATGCTTCGATAGTACGAGTAAGCACATTCATATGCTTAATCACATAACACCTACGCACGATTAGACAACGATTATAAAATATTATAAAAAATTGAAAAAAATGAGTGAAAGACAACGAAGAAACACCGGATAAAGGCGCGCAAAAAATCAGGTGCTATGTGTGGATCTTAGATGATGTACTGGTCACCGCCGCAGAACTGTTTTGTCGATAAAAATCAAATTTTTTGGCCACCGAAAAAAATTTGTGCTGCCCCGGAACTGAACATCCGACCCCTCAAACACCACGCCAACCTCTTCGCCACTCCATTAAAAGACTCGGTCTTGTTCCGTCCTTGATGGCTATTGGAGCGTAATCACCTGCATGATAAGGTATGGATTTTCCGATCAATGGGTCCCGGATGCTGGATTGAGGCGCGATGAGCTCGCCCCCGGTCCGCGTCAAGAGAGATGCTCTGATGGGGGGTTTACTACGGGCCATTGTCTCTAGCGCGCAAGCGGCGCGAGAACTCGTTTACGATCTATTTCTTGTGTTTTTTCTGCATCTGTTCCTCAGTTCGTTTGTTATAGGCTGGTATCGAGGTACAAATTTTGAATAATAGTTGCTTCAAGGAAAGAAACCTCGCGCTGAGGACAGATGCGCTGAGTATCGCCTACACTTAACTGGAACTCATATAATGTACTGTCTATTCGTTTTTTCCAGTTTTTACTCAGAGCCCGGCACGAGGTGGGCAAACAGGGTCTTCCAAAACGAATTCCCCTTTGATCTCAATATTTTTCACGAATACCCACTTGAGCCCAAAAACGATGATTTGTGCTTGTGCAACGAGAGCACCGGCCACACTTTGCCTAAAAGTGTTCATGCTCAAATTCCTCTAATTACTCCTTACCTGTATCAAGATAGAAAACAGGAAGAAGAATAAGCAAGAAAAATGATTAAAGAATAAAGAATCAAAGTAACGCAATCATATGACTGAGAGACGCCGTTCCCGCGCGTATCGATTGACCGGGGCGCGCTTTCCTTCTTACCAAGCTAGGCTGCTGATGCGATTTTGGCCTTTAGCAAAGACAAAAGGAGGAGTTAATTTCGGAACCAAAACCTCATCATGTAGTAAACTTTAGGAGTACAACAGATTTATGTAAAAATTTTGAAAACTTATGTGAAATGAAAGTTCTGCCTACGTCAGGTGGGCATTAGGTGGGCAATTGCCCACCTAATTCGGAAAATAGTTGTGCACGCTCTTCATTCACATAAGTTTTTCATAATTTTTCATACATTTTTCCTTAGTCCTACTGCGCGTATACACACCAAGTCTCGCGCGATTTCGTTTTTTCTGCGCTGCAAACAAGTCCTTTTTCTATTTTCTTGATAGTAGGAAATTTTCAGGAAGAAGGTTGCCGCAATCTTCAGTCACATAATTTTCCAATGAAACTTCTAATTCAAGCCTTGCAGGCCCGTGTTCATGTACCTACCAATTTCATACTGTATGGTCATCTGTGCGCTGCAAACGAGCCATATGAATTCCATCTTTCATTTACCAGTTTTGCAAAATTTGTGGAAAAAATGCTTTTTACACCTCCCATTCACATAAGTTTTTCATAATATTTCATGCTTTGTTTCTACTAGCCTCTCTTCATCCGCTTACGTAATTTGGTGCTATATCGTTACGCCTGCATTGAGTACTCGCGAACTCTGCGGTACGTTGAGGCTTATGAAAACTACTTCCCAATGAATCAGATGTATAAGGTAACAAGCATGATTCGACCTTCTTTTGCTTGCACTTGGAATCATCTTCCGGGGCTCCGCCCCGAACCCCGCAAAACGATTTCCCCCTTGCTTTTCCCATCAAAAACAATTTCCAGCTTGTCATTTGCCCACCTCGTGCCGGGCCCTGTTTTTACTGAGTCAAGTTTTGTGTTTCTGTGAGTGATGTGGTTTAGAAAGCTGCATACGATATTATAGAGCATTTGTGCAAATCCATGATGATGCATTGACACAAGCATGGAAAAACCGCATCACTTACAACAAACATGGAATTACCTACTTGTGGTGTTCTTCGCTACTTCCTTTTCCGTTTTTGTGTTTTTTTCAAATTTCATGTTTGTTGTGGGTGCGGTTTTCCATGCATCATTACGGATTCGCACAAATGCTCTTAGGCCCGTATGCACGTACATCTTCGCTGGGGAGGGGAGGGGATCTGAGAGGGGATGCATCATATCTCGCTACTCTAAATATCTTTCTTCTCCCTTTTCTATCTTGATTATGAAGGTTCTCATACCCTAATACCTGCGCATAATTGATGCCATGTTACGGGCATAACTGATTAGATTTTTACTATTTTGTGTGGATTGTGAATTTTTCGATGATCCCTAGCGTTCGAGCCAGGGAATACCGAAGATTTCGATATCCTGAGATTTCACTTATTTCTACTAAAAACATCTTTAGCAGCGCCGTAGTATATCCACAGTACAATTTTACAGCGTTTTCACTGAGTTTTCAGGAAGATAAATCACTTTGAAAATGAGAGGTGATCCCCTGGGGATGAGCAGGGGATCCCCAGGGGATCACAAAAAATAATGGAAATCTAAGTAATCACGCCAGTAACCTGGCATCAATTATGTGCAGGTATTAGGGTATGAAAACATTCATAAGCAAGATAGAGGAGGAAGAAGAAAGATACGTAGAGTGGCGAGATATGACGCATCCCCTCTCAGATCTCCTCCCCTCCCTAGCGGGGATGTACGTGCAAACGGGCCTTAGTATCGCATCCGGCTTTTCAAACCACATCACTCACAATGGCATAAGACTTGAGCTCAATAAAAACTGTGAAAACGCAATAACAGTCTTATTTATAATTCCACGGAACGTAAGAAATACTTAGCGCATTTGCCCCCAATGACGATACTACAAGTCTTATAGGAGCCGCTATCCAGAGACTTGTACCACGAAACCAGTCTATAACAGAAAAATCAAGAAAAAGATATAAAAAAGCGCAGAAAAGTGGATTGATTAATGAGTTCTCACGCCGCATGCACGCTAGGGAGACAAGGTTTTGACCCGGTTGCAATAACAATAACCGGCGCGAAAGCGGCTAACGGTTGCAAAAGCGGCAATCGCGCGGTCTGGAAGCTCCCTAAGGAAACGGCCATAGGTTGTCGATGTTGTCGGTGTTGTCGGGGTTGTCAAGGTTGCCGGTCGTTGTAGGAGCTCATGATAGCCTCCACGTTTTGTGCGCTCTATAAACTGTCTCTGACCCCGACAACCCCGACAACACCGACAACATCGACAACACCGACAACACCGACAACACCGACAACCTATGACCGTTCCCTAAGACACAGCGACACCTCAAACTTTGGCAATAAAGTTTTCGCTTTAAAGATTCAATCCAAACTTACGGGCAGTACGAACACATGACGTTCGGAAGAAGGCTGAGATACCGTGATACTGGTGCAATTGTGGAGTGACAGAGTAACAATGATATTGGGATGCCACGGAACTTTTGCACTTTTTGGGTGACTAGAAAACCTGACATGATGCCAGTGATTCCAAAGGAATGTTTTCGAGCCATAATACAAACATCCAAATATAATTTTGCTCAAGTCGGCACTATTTGGAAAAATTTTCGAAGTTGTATATACCGGACAATTAGGGAAAACTTCGGACTATACAATAGTGCTTTTTCTTCGCATCTGCTGTGTGGAGAATTAGACGATTTTTTTACTGAAGATCTCGATTTGGTATTATCAAAAACAAAACTGCAGTAAAGAGTGGAGCTTGTTTTCCTGTGCATACAAAGTTGCTTCTTGTTGATTATCATTTGGGCGGGATATCAAGATTTGTTTGCCTCGAAAAATCAGCTTTTCTATTCCTTACACTCTGCGTTAAATTCTGCTACTCAAAATGGGATTTCTCAAGAACCGATTATGAGGAAGCTCAAGAACTTTATTCAGTTATCTAACAAGGGTAGGAAGGATAATGGTGATCGTGGTCTTTTGAGATTTGCTATACATCAAAAGGTCGCCTTGAAGGGGATTTCGGACTTATTTTCATTATCTGCGGGACGTTTTTGGTGTTAGCGCTTGTAAAAACAAATGCAAAAAGATCCGTACCGACAGAGATTAAACCGGTATCCATTGTATTATACAATAATCGACAGCGCTAACTTCGACACCAT